GTAAGTGTGTGGTTTCCTTACTCCTTTCGGGACAACAGCTCCTGCCTCTTAATGATTGACAGGCAGTGCAAAGAGGGAACATTACAATGAAAACTCTTGAAAACTAGGATGTGACTTGCAGGAAATGTGGTAGCTGGACCTCAAAATACCTGCTCGTGTGGGCACCCAGAAGCTCTGGTGCCTATCCAAGGCTCTTGGGTCTTAAAAATGTCTTGATGTCTCATGGGATCAAGCTCTCTCACAAGATGCCTGTTACTTCCTGTTTTCATTTTGGCCAGAAATAGATTAACAACGGTATTTCCTACTCTGTCCGGCCAGAAAAAGGAGTTAAGAAGTGCTGAAAAAATATTTTTCAGACTATCTACCCAAACTTCTTGAACTTCCCTAAAGGTTCAGTTGAAGTTTTAGGCACCGGTTCAAGTAGCTCTTGTTGGATCCAAATAACTTTATCCAACCTTAGTCGCAATCTGGCTCTCGGAATTCTTTCGGACCTGAAGCTTGGGATACAAACTCATGAGCCTGGGAATGATTTATTTGTGCCAATTCTGTTAAATACATTTGATTTTAATTTACAAGAGCACAAGAAAAAGTCGGAACTTTGTGGTTTCCAGTGGTTTTAATATGAAAATTCTTACTTTGGGATGAAGTATTGCTGGCTTTTTGTCTAAAATGTGTATTACAGTTTTTCTGGCATTTAACAATGACTTTGACCGAGGTGCTGGGAGGGGAATGGGTGAAATAGCAGTTTAATTTACTGTACTTTTGGATGAGGATTCTAGGTAATAAATCTGATCTGATGAATCAATCTCTCTTTTGAAAACAAAGAGCCTTTAACTGTTTACTCGACAGACTGCAGGGACTCGGGGAGAGTTCTTGCTGCTTATTGGGTAGATAATGCAGATTGCAGATGATGTGCAGATGATGTGCATTTTGATGAATATTTTCCCACTAGACTGCAACTGTTTCTATCTATTAATTTAGATCTAATGGGAAAAGTGTGTTCCCGGGTAGTTTTTAAGCTAGGACTTCTTGAACAGTGAACACATCATGGGGATGCTCTTCTGTCTGCCTAGGATCTATTGCTGAAATGAACTTTGCAGTGAAGGTAGCACCTGAGATTCCTATCTGCCATCTACCCCTGAAGAAACTGAGCAAAACTAAACTAATGCTAGCACCCGGGGGCCTCGCTCCTGGCTGACAAAGGATGGAATGTTTACCTTTTCTGGATCTTTCTGATGGGTTTTTCTACCAGAGTTACCAAACGGAATGGTGGTGCCCACAGTGCTTTTGGTGCTAACTTTGTTTCAAAGTCTGCTGCAGAGTTGGTAACCACAGGTGGGGCTACAGCCAGTCACGGCCTTAAAACCCTTATTATGAACATAGTCCATGCAAAGCTTCAGCAGAGTATCCTGACAAGCATGACTAGCTAAGATAAGTGTTCAGCTAAATGAAAAATGAATGAATTAAAAGCCTTAGACTAAGTTCCAGATATTTTAGCTGTCGTGAGCTGGTGTGGTTCCACTGCACACGGGGAAGCGCCGCAGATTTGAACCAGATGACGTCTGGCTCTCAGTGCACAGTCCTGGAATTTTCACTTGCTTTATAGGAATGTCTTAAACCGACTCCTTAGGTGTGGATTTTGAGAATTTGGCAAACTTTGCTGTTTTGAACTTCTTTCTAATGTGTGAATGCAAATATGTATGAAACTGTGAGGAGAAGCTGTTCGTTTTGTTCTTTCCCGGGGTTGTTTTTTGTCTTTATCGCCAAGTAAAGATGTTCAAAGGAATTGTGAGACTATCAGGAGCTTCTCCCACTGGAATTAAATTGCAATAAAGTTACATTACTAACAACGCTTTAACAGGAATATGTATTTTGAGGGAAACAAAAGCCTATACCCCAGAAATAAGAAAATAAAAAGATAAAGCCAGCGCCTGCCTGACCGAGAAACTTCTGCCTGCTTGGCTTTATCCTGAAGTGATAGGGTGACTGAGATAGTCTTTGGAAATTACAGCTGCCATTGAGAGCAGAGCCAAGCCTCGCTGTATTTCAGAAAATGAAAATGATGTAGCCCTGGAGGAGGGAGGGGCTGAATCCCCAGGGCATCTGTTTCCCATCAGTGTCCCACCATGCTTGCAGTCTGGCTTGGCACTCTAACATTTAACCTTCCCAGCGTGAGGTAGACCATAGGGCAACAAGGCTGCAGAATAATGAAACAAGAGTGTAGTGTGGTGTACAAAGCCTTTGTGAGCGGAGAAGTTGAGACGTTAAATGATCAGCGCACGGAGATATGAAAGTTCCAGATTTTTCTCCAAAAGCCCCCATTAGGCTCAGGCAGAAGCAGGAGCGCGGCGCTGCTCAGCAGGCGGAGGCGAGGCCTTTCCCCATCCATCCAGGCCTTTTTGCCCGCTGCTTTCAACTATTATAAAGATACAATTACCTTGGGAGACTGTGGCAGTTCAGTTGATTAGCACGGTGAATTAAAAGAATGAGTCACAAATGACATGTCCAGCTCCTCTCTACTAGTCCTTTGTATTCCCAGTATGCCTCACCCCTGTTGTAAGAAGGTCAAAAATTAGAGAGAGATAACAATTTTCAAGCAGCTAGCACTTAGGAGCAGAATTAACAATCATTCTGTATGTAATTGCCAGTTAATAGTAAATTGCCTTCTAGACTGTAAAATGCAATATAAACTGGTGGGCACCTAAAATTAAATTAATGAGGTATTTGCTGCATTTAAAAGTGAATAGTGCAAATTAATAACTGGGTACAATACTTGTTTTAATCCATATCGAACAGCGTATCGTTTGCTCGTCCAATAATAATAATTTTAAAAGTGCTACCCAAAAAATTCTCTCCTGTCTGGGCGAGTGGAGTGGTTTGTGCAGGCTGTAGCCATCGTTTTGCTGGTAAAGTCTTCCAGGTTTCTCAATTAAATATCCAAGATTATTTTTTAATTAGAATATAAGCACGGCGGCGTTATTTGATTATGGCAAATTGTGATTTGTACGCTTCCAAATGAAATTGTGTTACAGATAAAATTGCACCTTTATACACATATTTTAAGCTCCGTAGCTTCTGTTGGTTTACTTTAAGATGAGCGGCAGTCCTGTATTTACAATGTATTTGTGCCACTGTGTTACTGTTTTCTCTCACGGTGTATTTTGCATAATGATTTCCTAGCAAATAAAGGAAGCAGGGTCCGACCTGGTGTGCAGCAAAATAGTTTCAAAGAACGCTGTTTGGCACTTGGAACTTCTAACACTGGCTGCTTTCACCCTGGTGTTTCTGTTCCACACCCGTATTTTGATAACTTCTTTTACTCCCTTCAAGAAACGACCCAAATTGTCAGGAACAGGCGATGCTTTGCGGTAGGCTGGACCCGGGCATTGGCATTCGATTGCAAACATGTCCAAAGTGGACGTGGAGAAAGCGTGAATGCTGAATGCATGGAACCGTTCCCAGGCCTGCAATGCATTTGCTGGACGTGAACATAAAAATGATTATTTTGCACAAAGCCTCGCATTCAATTTTAAGCTTACGAAACCATTACTCAGCCGGCAATCGCTCGCAGTTTGTGTTCCTTCTGATAGAGTATTTATGTTGAAGAAGTCCGGCCGGGCGCTCGGGCTGGCACGGCACCAAGGGGGGGAAGCCCTCCTTAGTCACTACATTGTCCAGATTTTTCAGCTTGGCTCGGTTTCGCCTCGGTACGGAGCCCTCCCTCTGCTTTGGCTGCCTTCCCTCGGTTCACCCCCACTCCACTTCCCCCGCGGAAAGATCTCGTGTTCCTCAAGTATTTTCGAGATCTTTTGTGCGCATTCAAATGGGATTCTGTCAATGGCGCTGTTACACTGTTTAGAGTCAATAGCTCCCTTCCATCACAGCCAACACAAACTAGCTGTCTCATAGGTCAGTGCTCTTTAAACAAATTACTTGTATCCACAGAGCAAATGATTGTTAATTGCCTCCCACAAATCATACTATTTTTACTATGCTAAACTACATGCGAGCGCCTTAGTTAAATTTAAATCACCTGATTATTTCTTGTGCGTATTCAATTATCGTTCACAAGTATGAAAACTGGTGACTTTGCAGTAATGCTAGAAATATATGTAATGGATACAGGACTTTATTGGAAAGCCTTAAAAAAAAAATAAATGTACAGTTACATTCATTTTAATGAAATCCTCAGCACTTCTAATTCATATATATTGCATTTCCTTTTTTTTTTTTTTCCTTTTTTAAGTCCTGAAGCAACTTACAGTCGCTGTTATTACAGTATTGGTTATTTATTGATCAGACCTTGTGTCAGTATCAGTTGTTAGCAAGCCGAAAAATATCAAGATAGAACAAATATTCTCGCCCTTGCTTCGAGATGGGTCTTTCCAAGTCAGTCAAAGTTTACGTTAAAGGGTCAAAACCAGAAAGTTTCTCTGTTAATATGTGAAACCTCTTCATCGCCCTGGAGTAAAATGTATTTTTCTTAAAACAGTAATGTCAAAGGGAACGAGATTCCTGTTAACTGTCTTCTCTTAAAAGGAGTTTTTTTGGCATGACACACATTTTTAATTAATAGGGCGATGCTAAACATACAGAAATGATTTAGTAGCATCAAGTCGATAGCATGTTGGATAATGTGTATTATATAATAGCTCTTTTTTAAACAGTAGCAATTCCAGGTTTATCAGGGTCATTGTTGTCCCCTTTCTTTTCTGTCTCAAAGGAGGCCAGAAGAATGAGACATACCATTTGTGCTATTGCACAAGTAGACTATTTGTCCTAATCAGTGACACCCATTTACTAGAATTGCTTAAAATGAACTATACCTCATACAGAAATCGCACATTTAGAGTGTTCCATTCATCATCTGAAAATTGAGGGCCAGTAAACTTTTCTGTTCCTCCAGCGGGATCATAGACATGCATCAAAATGTTAAAAAATGATTGGTGAGAGAGAACTGTCACCCATTTATCAAGGAAAAGGAACATTATTTGCTAATT